CAGTGAAGGTGAGGTGCTCGTAGTAGACAATCAGGGCACCCAGCTCGGCAGGGCCAATGTGGCCGCCGACAAGGATGCTGGTGGTAGGGCGGTTGCCCAGGAAGATCTTGTGGGGGACAAGCTCCTCAGGGGCACCCTCGGCGCGGACCTGGTCGGCGGTCTTGCCGACCATCAGGGCCTCAGCCTGGGCGAAGTAGTTGGAGGCCAACATCTTCTGGTGGACGTTGTCGCCGATGGGGTTGTGGCTCTTGGCGGCCAGGATGAAGTCGGCGGGGATCAGCTTGGTGCCCTGGTGGACGAGCTGGAAGAAGGAGTGCTGGGCGTTCGTGCAGGGCTCGCCGAAGAGGATAGGACCTGTGATGGCCGAGCTGTCAGTCTATTTCGAGCTTCTTCAGAGGTCGGCGGATCAGCGGGCCTGCTTACCGGTGGTGTACTTTGCGGGAGAGCCATCCGAGGTGATGGTCTTTCCGTTGGACTCCATGGACAGCTGCTGCAGGTAGGCGGGGAAGCGGTGCAGGTACTGGTCGAAGCTGTGGCACTTGATTAGCTTAACGCCCCTCCCGTTTGTCTTGCGGTTACACTTACGGAGCAACCAGGTGAGTCTGGGCCTGGAAGAAGTCAGAGTACCAGACGCTGAGAAGACCACCAAGGACGGGGATGTTCTCCTTCAGGGGGGTCTCGCGGAAGTGCTTGTCCATGGCGTGGGCACCAGCCAGGAACTTGTGGAAGTTGTCGTAGCCGACGTAGATGGCAACGCTGAGGCCGATGGCACTCCAGACGGAGTAGCGACCGCCGACCCAGCTCTCGAAGCCGAACATGTTCTTGGCGTCAATGCCGAACTTGGTGACCTCCTCCTCGTTGGTAGACAGAGCAACGAAGTGCTTGGCGATCTCGCCCTTGCCGTCGGTCTTCTCGAGGAACCAGGACTTGGCGGTGTTGGCGTTGGTGGTGGTTTCGGCGGTGGTGAAGGTCTTGGAGGCGATCAGGAACAGAGTGGTCTCGGGATCCGAGTTGGCGAGGGCCTCGGCCATGTGGGTGCCGTCAATGTTGGAGACGAAGTGGAGGGTCATGTCCCTGGCGCCGTAGTGCTTGAGAGCCTCGGTGACCATGACGGGGCCGCTTGACGGGGGAGTTAGCGGGCGGCTCGGAGGTGGTGAGGGGTAGGACCGGAGCCGGGAGGTAGGGGGTAGGGGTCGGGGTCGGGGTAGGGGGACTCACAGGTCGGAACCTCCGATACCGACGTTAATGATGGTGGTGAGCTTCTTGCCGGTGAAGCCCTTCCACTCGCCGCTGCGGACCTGCTCGGAGAACTCCTTCATGTGGTTGAGGACGGAGTTGACACCGCCGTCGTTGTTCATGACGTCGACACCGTCGACCTTCATGTCCCAGCCGCCGACGTTGCGGAGGGCAGCGTGGTAGACGGCGCGCTTCTCGGTGAAGTTGATCTTCTCGCCGGCGAACATGGCATCGCGCTTCTTCTCAAGGCCGGCCTGCTCGGCCAGCTTGACGAGGAGGTCGAGGGTCTCATCGGTCAGGAAGTTCTTGGAGAAGTCGAAGAGGATGTCGGTGCCGGAGGCGTCGTTCTTGAAGGTACGGCTGAACTTGGCGAAGCGGTCGGTGTCGTTGGCGAAGGCCTCCTTCAGGACGAAGTTCTTGCCGACGTTGTCGCGGTGAGCCTGGAGCTCGGCCCACGCGGGAAGGCTAGAAGCTTGAGGCATTTTGGGCAGAGGTCGACGATGGTTGGACGGAGGAGGATCGTGGGGTGGTGGTCTTGGGGGGAGCAGGAGACGTTAGCTGGACGTCTCGGAGGTGAGGGCGAGGTCGGGTAGGATATAATATGTATAAGGTAGGATAGAGGATGGATTGGTGGGACAGTTCAGTTGACCCAGAAACAATGTAGAAGGAGAAGGAAAGAAAACAATGCAGCGTGGTGTCGTGGACTGACTGAGTGATGGTGGGTATCAGGTGTGGGAGCAGTGGTTGAGGTCCCAAGGCAAGGTGGGAGGCACCTCACCCTTCCATTACCTAGCACAGTGGAAGTGGGATGGGTGCGGCAAGGTGAGCGGTTCCAGCCAATGACAGGGCCCCGTGGGTGGTGGCATGTCTGGCGTGGAGGGGTAATTGCGTAGAAAAACAGAGCTGGAACGCGGGGCACGGCACGCTGAAGGGAAGCACTGACCTGGGAGCCGGGGGGTCGTGGAATGACGCCCGCTGTAGCACTGGACGCCCAAAGCTTCGACTCAGTCAGTACCTCAGCTTTTGACGCTGGTGCTCAGTAATGGCGCTGCAGAAGATGCTGACGGCGACGGGGTATAATGCCAATTGAATGATGAAAAGCGACGCAACGTGAAATTGAAGAATGGCAAGGTGGGCGGGAAGCAGGCCAGCTTTAGAAGGGCCTCGCTGGATGGCTGGCTAGGCAAGGTACCTCAAGGTAGCTGGAGCATATCCGACGAGAGACGATGGAGCTCTTGCTTTCTCAACCTGTTTCTCCGTCATTCTCGTCTCCCGCCGTCGCCGGGTCAGCTCCGCCGAGCAGTAGGGGAAAAAAAAAAAAAAGCTTTACCTAACGAACCTCGCACCTCGCGACCAGAAAGGCCCGCCGTGGCACCGAGTGTACCAATTCACCTCACTGAATTGGCATCACCGCAACAATCCAAGCCGGTCACGATGACATCTGCCTCCTTCTCTCCTCCGCGGCCCCGCTCCGTCGTCCTCACCTCCAGTCTCCAGTCCTCGTGGCAGTAGTGATTTCTCCCGCCCACTCCAAAAAAGTCCCAAATCGCCGTAAAGGTGCCACTTTGTGACTTTACAACCCCCCGTCTTCTCCGTCTCGCATGGATGCGCTTGTCACACGCACTCTGTTTCTCGCCTGCTTCACTCAATGCTAATCGCCTATCGCCATGTCCCCTCCTCCGTCAGCCGTACCAATTGACGTCCCCAGCCGCCTCTGCTATATCCGACGAAGCGGGCCTGCCCGTCGGATCGGTGCTGAATTGCTGATGAAGCTTTTCCGACCATGATCCATCCCCCCAACCCCGACCCCCACGGCCCACGCATCGCGAGGACATCTCGAATTTTTCAGAAACCGCCCCTCTCTCCGCGCCGCCATCGTGACTTTCTGTCGTCGGTACAATGCTCTACCGGCCATCAGGAAATTCAAATCCCTCATTCGCAAACTTTCTTTAGCCTTCTTCTCGCATGTTGAGGAAGTTTCATAGCCCACCCTATAAGAGGGTCCACAGTAGATAAATCTAGTAAGAGCACTTCAGCTAGTGCTTCGTCTAGTAAGAAGATCGTAGTATATACTTAGAAGCTTAGAATAACTACTTACGCTAAACCTAATTATAGCTACCTATTATAGCTTTTAGTATTATATTAATAATAGCTTTATTATTAGTAAGGTTAATAGCCTTACCTATATAACTTATAGAGATAGCTTTATAAGGTTAGCTATATAAAAGCTTATCTTAGCTATATATTTAAGATATTACTACTTACGCTAAGCTATAAGCTTATTCTTTATCCTATATATAAACTACTTAGATTCTTATAACTTATAAATAAATTACTTAGATTTTTATAACTTTATAATATATTCTATCCTATTTAATCTATAGAGCTTTATACTATAAAGCTTTACTTAAAGTATACTTTAAAATATTATAATTAATACTAACTATAGGGTTAGCTCTATTATAATTAATAAGATAACAATTTTTAATATATAAAGCTTTATAAATAAGATAACTATAGCTATATCCTACTTTATAGTCTTAAAAGCTAATATTATAGCTATAGATTACGCCTATCTAATTTAGTAAATCTTACTAAAAGAGGTAGTTATATTTACTACTAATCTTAGCTATTATACTTACTTTAATAATATCTTTAGTAGGGTAGTATAGCTAGTAAATTAACTAAGCTTAACTATAATATTGAAGATATTACTAATAACTATAGAACTATAAGGATATTAGCTTAGTTAATAGAAATCTTAGACTAAGTATAAGCTATAAAGAAGATAGCTAAGTCTAATAATAGAAAGTGTATATAAGAGTTAGAAAAAAGGTTAAAAAGTTAAAGAAAGTCTATAGTAATTAAACTAAGTCTAAGTTATAAAGTTATTATTAAAGTAACGTTAAAAGTAATAAGATTATAATAGCGCACGTAACTGCGCACGTGGGGGGGAATAGGACTGAAGCTAGAATCGTGTGACTAGTAGGCTGTTAGCTGAAGGGGCAAGTTGGAGGTCGTTGCAGTATAGGTTCTAAGTAAAAATCACAGTAAGTGGCCAGAGGCCGGCCTTCTTCTCGCATACATAAACAGACCCAGTAGACAGGCACTTCTCTCGGTCTCACTCTCAACCCCCCGAGCGGATTCCTTGCCGAGCATCGTGAATCCGACACCGGATCAAAATGGAGGCATACACCGAATGTTAAGACGCGGTGGAACACCTGAGCTTACTAAATCCCGCCTCAACCCGCCCCGGCAGATCCGACGTCCGACGTCAGACACACGTCCCGGCCCGAATCCGCCTCAATGCCATCCCACACACCCGCATTCCCTCCCACCGGAACCTGCTGCTCGACGTCACGGCTTCACAACATCATAGTTAGTCACAATACGTGGTTGAAGCACCACCACCAACGCCGCTGCCGCTGCCGCTGCCGCCGCCGCCACTCCACATTACACACCACATCTGCCGTGAACGATGCTGAGCGATTCTGTGTCTGTCTGCTCAATGATATGTGCCTATCTACATTCCGTTTTCCCCTAGGCTTCATCATGCCCGTTCCAGAACGCCGTACAAAGACGAAGACGCAAGCTGTTGCGTGCGCGAGTCGAGTCGTCGTGTCGAATCGCTTTGCCGTAAGCTGAGGTAACCCGTAAACTGAATCACCAAGTCCACACCACTTCAATGCTTTCTAGTCGACCCTTTCTTTCCTTCCCTGCCTGCCTGCCTGCCTGCTTGCGAAAACCAAAAGAAGACAAGGCGCTTATCGGTCCTGGATGCTGCCCACAAATGACGGGTCCTTGACACTGCCACCCGCATCGCCCAGTCCTGCAATCGGTCGGTTGTAGCTGAAGCCCTGGAACTGGTTCTGCATCGTCTGCGAGAGCATCGGTCCCTCAACGTACGAGTCCTGCGGCGCTTCTGATGTGAATTCGGGATCAAAGTTGGCCGTGTCGAGGGCGTCCACCTGGAAAAAAAAAGTCCACGTTAGTCATGCTTGCCACTGCTGATGCCAGTCACGGTGAGGCCACTTACCACGTTGGGCTTGAACGCCGGCTCATACTTGCGCTGCAGAAGCTTTCGCCAGTCGATGGCGTGGAAGAAGGGGTGCGCCTTGATCTCGGCCGAGCCGTTGGCACCGAGACGCTCCTTAGGGTCACGGTTGAGCAGCTTGGTCAGAAGGTCCTTGGCGGCCGGCGGTACCACGTCGTGGCCGGGGAAGTGGAGGGGTTCCGAGAGAATCTTGCGGTACATCTCATTCGTGTTCTCGTCGTAGAAGGGCGGTAGTCCCGTAAGCATCTCGTACAAGAGGACTCCGAGCGTCCACCAATCCACCGTCTTGTTGTAGCCCTGTCCCATAAGCAGCTCGGGCGCCAGGTACTCGGGAGTACCACAGAAGGTATTGGTGCGGTCCTCGTCCTTCATGTCCAACTTGCAGAGACCGAAATCGCACAGGGCGATGTGGCCTTGGTAGTCGAGCAGAATGTTCTCGGGCTTCAGATCACGGTAGATGACGTTGAAGCCGTGGAGACACTCAAGAGCGCACAGAAGCTCGGCCGTGTAGAACCGCGAGCGGTTGACGTCGAACCTTTGCTCCTTTTGCAGGTGGTGGAACAGCTCACCTCCGTTGACAAAGGCCAAGACGAAGTAGAGCTTCTCGGGAGACTGGAAGGTGAACTTGAGGGGAACGATGAAGGGGTTGTTAATCTGCGCCAGCACTGATCGCTCGGCCAGGGTATGGGCGACTTCAGAACGCGAGATGATGTGTGCCTTGCGGATCGTCTTGAGGGCGTAGATACGGTTTGTGTCCTTCTTGCGCACTTGCATGACCTTGCCGAAACTGCCCTTGCCTACCACCTTGAGCAGCTCAAAGTCCTCAATCTTGAGCTTGCCTGCGCGGTTCTCCACGTACTCGACACCAATCTTGAGCTTTCCGGTGCCGTATTGCACATCTACCCACTCAACGCCGGTGTGGCCAAGAGCACGCTCGCGGGTGGCAAAGTCGGCGGCGGCCTTCTCGCGGTCCTTCTTGCTCGCCTTGGGGTCCTCGGCAAAGGTGTGCTTCTCCTCGAAGCGGGGGTTGATGCGAACGACACCGAGGAAGATATCCTGACTACGACCGGCTCCGGGGGGTGCCATCGGGTTGCGCATGTACAGATGAATGACGAGCTCGGTCACACGGGACACATCGAACTTGTACTGGGTGTTTCCTCCAGCCCACAGGGGGCTCTCCGGCGTGCCCTCGACAGAGTTGACGAAGACCTGCATTTTATCGAAATCCAGCAGGGCATAAGGCATGTACTTGCCAGAAATTCTGCCATGGTTGGTGGGGATGCCGTTGAAGCCACCGCCAGATGTTTGTGGGCGGCCGGAGCCGTTGATGAAGGAGCCGGCGACTCGCTGGGAGGAAGACGGGCGGACGGAGCCAGCGACGCTGAGGGCACCGCCGGAGGATACGGAGCCTTGGTGTGAAGAAGCGAAGGCTTGTCTGTGTTGTTCGGGGAGAGAGAAACCCTGGCCCTCGTGCAGGGTGACGACGAGAATACCGGGCTTCGGAGGGTTGACGACGGGTGCTTGCGCCATTGCCTCGGAGGCAGCTGCAGCGGTCAGTATGGAGCAGACTGCGCCTTTGGGCGACGCTGAAAGGGGCTTGTCACAATGGACGAGTGGGCGTACCGATGGTTCCTTCATTCGAGGGGGGAGCGGCGGCGCCAGGCTGGGCCTTTTCGCTGTTGTCGGTGATGGTAGATGTGGAAGGGGAGCGGGAGAAGGTGTTGGCCAAAGGGCCCAGATGGGTCTCCTTGAGCTTCTTCGTGAGCTTCCACGACATTTTGGAGGAGGAATGGCCGTATGCGCGGCGAGCGAATCGGCGATGGTCGGGGAGTCGAGAGGATCAAGGAGGGCGGGCGGATGGCGATTTTTTTTTTCTCTTTCGTTTTTTTTGTTCCCTCTCTCTCCAGGCGAAACGGGTGAATGATGGGTTTGGCGTAGGATAGGACAGATGAGGTGAGGTGAGGTGAGGTAGATAATGCAAGAGAAGGAGTTGCTAGGGTCTTGATTTGTTGGTGGAGGTTCGAGGTTGCGTATGGAGACGCTCGTTCGCTCGTTCGGTGCAAGAACCCCGCAAAAGACGCCCCCTCTCCTTGGGTCTTGGGCTGAGTTGGTAGACGGACTGGGGGGGACGTGTGTGGTGAGACAGACTGGTGCCGGCCTGTTTTCTGCTTGGCTATCGATAAAAGCACGGCAATGTACGGGTTACACAGGCCACGGCAGCAAAAAGCACTGGGCAGTCTGTCGGAGGAGACAGAGAGATAGAGAACGAAAGAGAGGGGGGATATTGGAGGAGAGCAGCAAAAAGCAAAGGAAGGCCAGTGAAGGGATTCAGAATTGGCTCTGAGAGGTTGGGCGAGTGAGAGTGCTGGCTGACTGGACCTGACTGACCTCCTTTCCTTGTTACGTTGGAAGGGGAAGGGGAAGGGGAGGGGGGGAAGGGGCGACGACGGGATTCAGGGGTTGAGGATCTTGACCTGATCCGCGCGGGCGGCCTGTACTTACGAATAGCACAGTTGACCGTTCGAAAAGCGTGAAAGAAACCCAGCAGTTTACGAGACAGGTGGCTCAGTCCAGCGGTAGTTCCCTCCTTGCGACCAACCTAAATACCGGAGTCTACCTAGTACCTTTACCTCACGTTGGATAAGGTACCTCACCTTAACTTTCTTCACTGTCTGGGCTACGGTAGCGCTGTTAGCAGCAATGCAAGTCGGACTGGATAACCTAGGTAAACGACAGGCGACAGGCGGGAGCCGAGAGGCGGTGCATCTGTATCCATATCGCTCTCACCAGTCTCTGCCACCGGGCCAGCAAGTCTGAGGTTGCTGGCACCGTGAGGGGGAGAAGGGGCAATGATGAAATCACCCAAGGCACTCGCTCCATCACTCACTCCATCGAGTTCTGCCGCCTGCGAGACTGCTGCGCCTGGGGTCGCCCGGTTTCTGACACCCGCACTGTACGGGCAGAGCGACACAAAGTACCTTACCCCAGTTGCGCCCGAAGACCCAGCTGAGGAGACACAGCCAGCCGTCGCACACATAGTGCACAGTGTTCAGGGAGTTTACAACTTCGTATGTTCATGGCAGTGTGGCCTCGGGGGGGCAAATAGGAGAGAGGGGCGGTGGACACGACCTGGCGCAGGTACGAGACAAGGACAGTGCGAAGAGATCCAGACGGCGACAGGCTGCTTATGAAAGCAAGGAAGCCAACTCGGCCAAGCACCCCAGAACCCCTCATTTGCTGCCAAAATTGCCTCGCCCTTTTCCCTGCCTCAGCAGCAGCGCCAATTTAGGGGGGGAGCAGCACCCGCACCTTTAGCGACTACCTTGCCTTGCCTTACCTTACCTTACCTCAAGGTATCCGTAGGCACTAGGGGATCGTACATGCAGCCTAACGCAGTAGGGCACCCAGTTGCTCGGGCTACAAGAGCCCATCAGCTGAAAGGTAACCTTGAAATGTCAAAGTCCATGTTAATATCATCGGAGGCCTGCCTGTCCTCCCGAAATTGGCATTTGCGTTGGGTTTGGTTTTGTCGACAAGGGGAGAGGTGTGTCAAGGCTGCTCTTGGTCTTTGTCAGTACCTGGGTGCTCTACGGATATATTTGATGCTGAAAAGGGATGCCAACCGCAGCATCAGCAACCTGTCTTCTCCTAAACACCATGCAGCGAGTTACATGCTTCCGGGTGAGCACTTCGTAATGCTGACCACCGGCCGAAACCCATCAGTTGGGGATACAGCGTTAGAACCAAGCAGCATACCCCAAAATCCAGCCCAATGCCCCATCGGCCGTTGACCCAATTCAGCCTTTTCCTCGTCAATCCGGCGGCTGATTGTCAAACAGCCCTGACCGTCCCCTCGGCAGCCCCGTAGCAGCAACCCGACAAGATAATGCAACAAGCCTGCCCTCCTGCAGACTGCTGCAGTCGACGAGAACCGAAGAGACGGGTGCCCTGCGTCGATCCGTTACAGCGCCGGCACGTGAGCAAGGGGTCCCCATCCATCGTGAGGGAGCTGCACTGTGTTTGAGGAACACCAAATTAAACAGCAGGGAGATCTCCCTCGACATCTCACTGTGTGAAACCCCAGATCCTGAAGGCCGTTCTGTTCTGCTATTCGCTCGGCCCAGGCTGTCTTCTTCTTTTTCTGCTGTTCTTCGTGCAGATGCACAACCACGATGCAATGCACCGCTGCGAAGACACGGTATTCGCATAATATGGCATTGCTTTTGCTAGGTAGCGCTAATTCTGGCTTCTTCAGCCCACCGCACCGGGGCGGACGGGAGCGGATGCTCGGACTTGCCTGCCCTCAGCTCGCAATGCAAGTCTGAGGACACGGGGAAGGATGGAAGAGGAAGCCGGCCTTGACAAGCTGCACCTGGCTACCGGACAAGTCACGTGACGGAAGATATGAGCTCTTACTCATCCTATGACACGTGACCGGATGATTACATAACTCCTCATCATCCCGAAATGGGAAGAGCTTGGGCTCTGATGGAAGCAATTCACCATGCTCCCCGTGCTTACCCGGAGCTTGCGCAGGTTTTGAGCCTCAAGTGAGCCAGACATGAACCTCGTGGCTGGACTGAAAGCTGGCAAGCTTTGCGACTGCTATACAAACCAAAATCGGCTTCTCCTGGGTGAAGAGGCAATCGGCAGAAGAGCCTGGCAAGTCTTTCCCGGGAAAAGCAGCCATCCCTCACGGGATCTTCTCGTCCACTCCTACTTATTCCGCCCTTACAGCCAGCCATCCAACGTACGATGGTGCACACCACATTTGACGCAAGAATCTTTTGACTTTCAGTAGACATGTGTCGTTGCAGTAAATGCCCAAATCTACGTCAAGGAGCATGCTCATGCGTCGATGGGTGCGTCGACAGAGACCTCGGCTGCACCCATCATACCACATCAAATGATCCAAAGCCCGATGCAAAGGCCGTCCAAATTCCGCTTCAGAGGCCGCTACAGATATACTGCACCATCGCCCACTCTCTCCAAATCACCGAGTTCATCATATCGTCCTTGGAGCGACACGAGCGCATTGCTTCCTATTCATCACACCATGGCGGCCCTCCGTCATTTTGCGGTTCTTCAGGCCCATCCTGAGTTGAATGTCGAGTGTTGGACGGTGCAGTTTACATGTTCACGAGGACATAGTCCTTCTGCTACATCTACAGAGCTGCTTCCAGGTGAGGTATCAACTTGCAGCAACCTATTCCTGCGTTCTCTGTGCATCACTGACTAACACCAACCCCAGTTTCTTCGCCATCATCGCCCAGAGTGGCCCAGTCTTGACCACATCACGCGACTTTCCGACGTTGACTACAAGTCCCGGTTGGCATATGGATTGCAGCTTGTTCTCGTCCACGGTCTGATTGTCAGAAACGTGGCGCTGCCGTCCTATATTCCGAATGGCAGCACGCATCTCGGTCTTCGACGTAGGCCCCTTGGTCTCTGTGGTAAGGCGTAACTCTGCTTACGTTGGTACGCGGAAAGGTTGCTGAGCTGGTTCTATTCCATCCTGTCGTAGGTAATTCAGTTTCGGGGCCAACTCTCAGAAGCGACTGCGCTCATGCAAGCTAGAAATGCATTTATGATTGCGCAGGTACGTTAATCACATTTTCGCAATGCCATGACCAGTCCTCAAGTTTCCGCAACTCAGCTCAGCTAGTATGGCATCAGCCGCTACAGCCGGATGTGCCCTCTGCAGGCCGATGGGGTTTCCGAGCACCGGACGCGGGGCACGTCAGCCAAGCATGCGGGACAAGCTGACCAAGACCTCCGTGGCCCGTCCAGTTCACAACAAAGCTATTGCTGGTCACTCGAGGCCGGCTCAAGATATCCGTTGCGCGGCAGATGGACATTTCTATGGCTGGGGTCGACGGCTTCCTCGTTTTGGCCCTCCCTGCATGCCAACCCGTCGTCGGCGAGTCCCTGTACCCACAGCAGCCCGTATTTGCATTGTGACGGATGTGCGATCGACACAATGTCCAGCTATTGTGAGCCTGTTCTCCAATTTTGCTGCACTGCGGGGGCACAGCTCATATGTTCTTGGAATCGTGCATAGGTTCTCCCTCGATGAAAGCCTTGATCGCCCTTTGTACGGTTTCCAGGCCCTAGATGGACTCGACCCCTCACTTGCCGTCCAGAGATCTTCCTCTGCAACAGCTGCCACTGGCGCTCTGGACGGCGAGCAGATAATCCGCATCTTTGTCTTCGGCACAGCCATGTAACTTCTCAGCAATACCATCATCCACGAGTCCAATGACAAGGCGCTTCCTGAGCTTCGGGTGCAACGGTTGGATTTGGCTTTGGTACCGCCTTTGTGACACATCTCTTGTGTGTCTCCTCGTTGACTGGGCGGGCCTAGATATGCATCACCTCGCAGCTGTCATGCAAGTTCATGGCGAATCATCAAGGTCAGTTCGCTGGGCGCCACGGCACAGACCTGAAAAATTGGGGTTAACCATTGGCTTGGCCGTGGGAGGTGTTGTTTCTTCGTTGAACATGTCGTCTCACATTGGAACTGGGACTGATTCGTTTACACAGAGGCTGCTCTCCACGACACACCTCGCTGTCTCATTACCGACATACCTTACCCCCGCAGAAATGCAAGCGATTTCCAACTTGGTCCAATTCGTCGAGCCTTTGCCCCGGAGGAGAGGATTGCCGTATGCTCCGCCGTTTACGAGGGTTACAACGACTAGCTGCGGTACATGGTCTTCATCAGCACCATCGTACTTCTCTCCGTGAGCCTGATGTTTGTGCGAAACCTTAAACGGT